AATAGGAAGTGTTTTGGTGTGAACTTGACGTTCAAATACTGAAAGGCTGCTCAATTTCAAGTCGAACTTAAATATCGTGCTATCTCTGTCATTTTACAAAGAATTTGTAGTGACAGAACTATACTTGAGCGCGACTTAAAGTAGCCTTTCGATATTCGGGAAAAAATCAAACGCAAAAAATCTTTGATGGTCTTGGTAATGGTACGTCATGTACCACGGCACATCTGACACGTACCATATGTGTGAGACATGCCCTTTAAGTGCACTTGTCCTTCAAATTTCTATCAATTCTAAAACCAATTTCTAGGGATTTATTTTTAATTATATTTTCCGAAGCATGAATCACGTTGTTTCATTACTTTCATTACAATTCATGTCGCTCCCGAACTTTGTTCCCTATATTAATACTTGCTCCCACTATTCCGTACACTGACGGCCGGACACGCTGCTATTGAATAAACATACAACAATCTATCCTTTGACATGGCAACACTGCACGTTGTCCTTGTTTTTTATGGCAACACTGATTATTTTGAACTGTAATCTGCTGTCGGTGGTACGGTGGAGGCTTTTTGTCTTTATTTTAATTTTATGATTCATAGTTACGTCATAAAAAAAGAAATCCGCTAACGAACATTGATCGCCGACATAGCCTAGCGGATTAGTAAGTTGAAATGGCAGTGGGCAGGGCACGTCGGCACGACGTCCATCCGCAAGGTGATGAAGGACAGACGACATGATTAAGGTCGCAGGGAGCCGCTGGATGCAGGTCATTGGGGGAGGCCAATGTTCACCAGTGGACGTCCTGTAGCTGATATTATTACGTTAATGATGATGATAGTTACGTCTTTTTAACTTCAGGCATAACTTTCGTAATTTAACGATGGTTTTAGTAGAGGTAAAGATATAAAATTGGATACGTCTGATCTATACATATAATAAAATTGTAGAAAAGTGCTGTCTGTACATTGAAAATAAAAATAAAAAAAATAGCAGGGGCTATTGTTATGTCGATGTCGAACCCAAAAATGTAACTAACTTTTTTTTTGTCTGTTTGTCTGTTTGTCTGTTCACGCTAATCTCAGAAACGGCTTATCCGAGTTGGATGCGGTTTTCACGAATATATTGTGGTATGCTTCAGTTATGCTTTAGTGTTTGTTTCATGTCAATCGGTTCATAAATAAAAAAGTTACGTCAAATTAAAGAATCACGTCGAACACTATCTATCTATCTATACATATAATAAAATTGTAGAAAAGTGCTGTCTGTACATTGAAAATAAAAATAAAAAAAATAGCAGGGGCTATTGTTATGTCGATGTCGAACCCAAAAATGTAACTAACTTTTTTTTTGTCTGTTTGTCTGTTTGTCTGTTCACGCTAATCTCAGAAACGGCTTATCCGAGTTGGATGCGGTTTTCACGAATATATTGTGGTATGCTTCAGTTATGCTTTAGTGTTTGTTTCATGTCAATCGGTTCATAAATAAAAAAGTTACGTCAAATTAAAGAATCACGTCGAACACTATCTATCTATCTATATATATAATAAAATTGTAGAAAAGTGCTGTCTGTACATTGAAAATAAAAATAAAAAAAATAGCAGGGGCTATTGTTATGTCGATGTCGAACCCAAAAATGTAACTAACTTTTTTTTTGTCTGTTTGTCTGTTTGTCTGTTCACGCTAATCTCAGAAACGGCTTATCCGAGTTGGATGCGGTTTTCACGAATATATTGTGGTATGCTTCAGTTATGCTTTAGTGTTTGTTTCATGTCAATCGGTTCATAAATAAAAAAGTTACGTCAAATTAAAGAATCACGTCGAACACTATCTATCTATCTATATATATAATAAAATTGTAGAAAAGTGCTGTCTGTACATTGAAAATAAAAATAAAAAAAATAGCAGGGGCTATTGTTATGTCGATGTCGAACCCAAAAATGTAACTAACTTTTTTTTTGTCTGTTTGTCTGTTTGTCTGTTCACGCTAATCTCAGAAACGGCTTATCCGAGTTGGATGCGGTTTTCACGAATATATTGTGGTATGCTTCAGTTATGCTTTAGTGTTTGTTTCATGTCAATCGGTTCATAAATAAAAAAGTTACGTCAAATTAAAGAATCACGTCGAACACTATCTATCTATCTATATATATATATAATAAAATTGTAGAAAAGTGCTGTCTGTACATTGAAAATAAAAATAAAAAAAATAGCAGGGGCTATTGTTATGTCGATGTCGAACCCAAAAATGTAACTAACTTTTTTTTTGTCTGTTTGTCTGTTTGTCTGTTCACGCTAATCTCAGAAATGGCTTATAAATATATATATATTTAACAGGGTGCGGAAAAGGTGATAGTGGTTTTATTCCTCAGATTCCTCTCATTCCAAAAAATTTTCCGTTTAATTTTAAACGAATTCAGTTTCCAGTGAGCCTATGTTTCGCCATGACAATTAATAAAGCTCAAGGTCAGACTCTAAAAGTTGTGGGTATAGATCTAAGTATCAGCTGTTTTTCGCACGGTCAATTGTATGTGGCTCTGTCCCGTGTTAGCAATCCCAGCAGCCTGTATGCTTTCACCCCCGATGGCCATACGTCTAATATTGTATATAGAGAAGCATTACAGTAAAGTAGGTTTTTTAGCTACCCAAAATGACTGTGATTATGATCCAAATCTAAAATAAAAATAAGTATATATTTAAAAAAAAAACGCTGCTCAGAGTCACTATTCTACGCGAACGAAGTCGCGGGCACAGCTAGTTAGGAAATAAGCCCGTAACAAAAAGATTTTCGCAGTTAATTCAAAAGAAAATCTCGTTTGCAATATATTCGTACCTTATGGAGCCGTGGAGAACGTAAGAGGTTACCAGGGCTCCGGATCGAAGTGCAGGAGTAGGAACGGGGTGGTTTTTAGTCAGTAAGAGTCTGACATGAACAGAAGTCATTCGATGATAGTTCCTACTTAAAAAACATTGTTTCATACCTAACAGTAAACATAAAATTTTTGACTCTCAAAACGTTTTGTGTAACATTTAAGGAACATACAAATCCCAACATAATCCGTGACTAATGTGATAATCCTTCGCGACAGTTTGTCAGTGGTTTAATTGTGTCCTAACTAATGACATCCTAGAGACCCCAAACTGTCAGACACTTCTCAAAAATAAAGAGTATCATTTAAAGTAGACTTACACACATATCAAGCTAAACTAAACCAGGTAATGATGATCTCGCTTTGAATGATCGTCCGGCATATTCGACGGTCAGTGTATACTGGTTGATTAACTTGACGTGTCGTGCAACGGTTTAACAAATAGTGTCATAGAGTGGGTGCCGCGGTAATGGTGCCATACATCGCGACCGCGGTATATTAGAACAGGATTTACTGGATATATTTGTCTGATGTTCGTAAATGTTTGTGTGCTTAAGTTAATATGCTTTTGGTGGGGTTTGGGTGGAAAAGTTCTTCTATTTCTTTTATTGAAGATAGGTAAGCGCTTGGCCGCCATCTCGCCTGATGCTGCCTAGAATGGAGCACATCTACATAAGCAACTTTTTCACCCGAGACTTGAAGTCTCCCAGACCCTTCTGGAAGTGGTTTATCTAAAAGAAAATAATGGAACTTTACTGCTGTTCTAAGTTACAACTTGTATAAATTACCGTGACTATATGAGGTAGTAGCCAAATGACGGTTTTCGCTTTATTAATGAAACCGGTGTCAAAGAAAACAGGCGTGAAACGCTTGTATGATATTTCACCATTTGAGTAAGGTTACCCTTCTCTCTCTGAGACCGGTAGCGCATAATTTCTATGTTGTTATGTGTGTCAATGCGCGACGCTGCTTACTAACCATCAGTGACATACATTTGCCGCCCAATACCTTAACATTCCACACATTTTTATATAAAATACAGGTACATTTTTACAATAGCTATGCCAAACGCCATAAATAGATTCAAAACCTTAAAAAATACAAATAACAGTAGCAGGTCCCCAGTTTCCGTCACGTGGCGCCCTCTATAAAGGCTCAATAACGCACTGTAGCACCATCTGGCGACAATTCGAGCGCTGCCCGCAACATGCACGTGTTTATGGACGCTGTTACAATAACCCGGCGCTACGTGAGCGCGCTGCGCAACGTGCTACGGTAACATGTAAAAGTTTGAGGTTAGGAGCGTTGGTTGTAAAAAATAATGGCGGATTTATTTGTTATGTTGATTCTCGGATTCTCCTGGCTGTTTTAAAATGAATTAGTTTTATATTATTACAATCAGATTCAATTTTTATTCTACTTTTTTGGTCTGATATAAGATAATAAAGGTCATCTACATCCAAAGCCAAGTTTAATGGATTTTGTGTAACATAACATTACATCACGCCTTTTATCCCCGAAGGGGTAGGCAGAGGCGCACATTAAGGCACTTAATGCCACTATACAATGTAACAACCACTTTTTCACTATTTATGTTATGAGTCTCATGTAATAGGGGGTGACCCTATTGCCATATACCGGGCACATATCCAGACTCCGTGCTACTGCTGAGATTTAAAACCTAGTAATACTTTGCCCGACCCGGGAATCGAACCCGAGACCCCTTGCCCGGCAGTCGCACTTGCGACCACTCGGCCAACGAGGCAGTGGATTTTGTGTATCAATCCTAAAGTAATAATGAAGTACCCAGCTAGTGTATCGTAAGTCTAAATTGTGCTCTTATTGATAGCGAACATACGGGAGATTTCATTTGTTTATTCTACGAAGCAAATACAGTCTTTATACGCGAAATGTAATATATAGTACGTACTAGCTTTCATGAAATTATACACTGGTTATGATGGTACTCGTCACTTGGTAAGCTCTTCTGTAACTGTCAATAAAATTCAAAACATTGAAGTGAACTCGATCGCGCCATGTCATTGGTTGCGGGAATCATCTCGACCAATGATGGGCGAGGACGCGATCTAGCTACCAAGCGTACTTCGAAAGTTTAAATTGACAGTTATAGAATAGACTAACTGTTATTAAAAGCAGAGTCTAAAGTGTAAAATAAAAATAAAATTTATGTGTGTATTTATAAGGTTAAATCAATACTCCATCCACCGTCAGAGTCCTCACCCTCTCGGAGTACATGGCGAGGCACTGGTGGTGCAGCTGTATAGTGTGTTTGTGTCTCAACAGCTGGTTCTGGCTCCGGCTCTTCGACTGACGCAGTGGGCTCAGTGGCTATGGTGATCGGAGGAACGTATGTGCTCTTCGCACGTCCCGCCTGGCCAATCCTGTACGTCGCGAGGAACTCGTTCAGCGGAGACTTGGTTGTGGTAGTGGTGCGGGCTTCACCGGTGTAGTATTCCAACATCTGAAAGTCGTACAACAAAATTGTTTGGGATGAATCATCAACCAGTAGGTATAATGTAGATAGCTTATATGAATAATTAATTAAGCAAAATTTTTTAGAAAACCAAGAATAAATATAAGACTTTTCTGATTCATCTCCACCAGAAATGCAGAGTTGTGAAAAGGCATAGGAAAAAAAGGTAACTTAAAAAAATATGGATAAATTACGCGGAAGGAGATTGTAATATGATGAAGTTAGATAGGAGAAAAAAGAAGACATTATATCGATACCAAGTGTCAAGTGTCTTAAGTCTTGACAAGAAGTAAAAGAAATAGATTTATAGTAACAATATTTACAGTTTCATTGATAGTTTCTATCCAGTCAGTGTAGGCGCCGACTGTAGTGAACACGGTGGGAGCGTCGGCAAACCCGCATATAGTAGGTCCAAACGATATGACCCCGACTAATCGGCCATCCAGGATCGCTGGCCCACCTGCATCGTGCTGGAATATCATTGAAGTAACTGAATATCACGCATTCTCTCAATAGTAAATTTTATTTTAAACCAGTCATTTATTTCATTAAGGGCAATTTTTTCTAATTCTAACATCAGATAAATAACAAAGAAATAAACAAGTAAAGGACTGCACGATGCAGTGGCTGGGCAACTGGCTACACGGAGCAACTCTTTGTGTGATCCACAGATTGTTGTACCAGGTCTATGTGTCACGTGTATGTGAACTTGTATGTTTGTTTACCCACGACACAGGAGAAAATCGTAGTGGTAAATTTGACAATTCTGCCATTCTAAATACTGTGTACACATGTACATACAAACACTGTGTGATACACGTCAATTTTCTACTTCAAATAATTCTTATCTGTGAATTTATTTAAAATTATAAATTACAATTATAAATAAGTAATTCGTGCGTTAAAACTCACATCACATGCGCCTTCTCCCGTAGTCAGAGTACCAGCACAGAACATATTCTCTGGTATGAACTTGCTGCAACGAAACTTCTGATGAATAAACTGAACAATTTAACTGAAGTGTGGAATAACGTAATCAGGCGATATCAACTAAAACATTCTAATTAAAGTCCTGTTTTCACACGAGTAGGGTATTTTTAAATGTATGTCTCATAATAATTTTTGTACAAAAAATTTAAAAGTTTTACTTACTCTCCATAGACCTCTTTACAGAAAGCGTTTGGATACACCGGCAACACTTTCTTCTGCAAGAATATCGGCTCGTACGATAACTTCTGCGATATCTGTAAAGTAAATTACATTTTACAATCTTAAGTTTTATAATTGATGGAGTCAGTGATAAAATCCATTGTGTGATACAGAAAGGCATCTTTCTCTTTATTGACCACAGTAAAACCAAACGACTCTACTCTCTATTGTTACATATGCTCTAAAAAGCATGCTAAAACCAGTTCTATATCATGCTCAATTTTGAAAAATTGGGCGTCTGTCGACTCACAAAAATGACAAAAATGGTCATGCTAGTTTTGAGCAACATTTCGACACACACGCTACAAGTGATACGTGCTCAATTGAAGTAAGCTTTCGTGCATGTTTAACAGTACCTTAATTCTACAAATTCAGCCACTGCGCTGCGCAACAAGTGTCGTGTGACCCATGAACTTGTACTTTCATAACAGCACAAATCACAACAGTAGTCCCCATCACTAAGAGTTTACTGCTAATGTTATCACTATCACCAGACATAAAGTCCCCGAAACACACTCAATGTTATAATTAAACCAGGATGGGTACTTTTATTGAACATTATCCTTACGTAGTAGTTCTTATGGCTGTATCATAAAGAGTATACTGTATTAAGTATAGAGACTAAGAAAGGAATGATGAGTATAATAAAATTTATGATGAGGATAAGGTTCGTGAGTGATCGTTTACTTCAGGAAAAAGAGGGTGATAAAGATGACCTTGAGACGCGAATTAATTAATTGACTATAGGGAGCTTTACATGGATCAACACAACTATAAATGCCAAGGATCCTTGAATCGGAAAAGGAACGTGAGATATCTTGGAGAGCATGTTAAGATGACAGTCCAGTTAGGGTTGATCCAAAAAAATTTGATGATACTTTAAGCAGTGATATTATATATACCTTGGTGACTCCCCAGCCGAGCAGCAGCACCGCAGCAGTGGGGGGCGGGGCGTGGATGTGGTTGTCGATTGGAATGTACTTGGTGACTGCGTGCGACGTGAAGCGAATGTGACGTCGCAGCCTGATCACTGCCAGGTTGTTCTTCAACGTCCTTGGGTTGTAGCCGGGGTGGAAGTACACCTGACATGTACACATTGGACAAATTATATCAACCGAATTATTTTTTGTAAATAGTGTGTATTGTATTTACCTCAAGGACATCCACCATCTCTCCACCAATTCTGCTGTGGTTGCTGCCTATCCTCACTTGTAATATGCGAGGGTTCTCACGAAAGAAGCGATTGTTGTGTAATCTAGGGAAGTAATTAATAGAGTTTAATGAAAATATGCAGTCATTAAGTTTGCGATGTTTAGGGTTGTACCCTGTACCTAGCTATGACATCGTAGGTAAATAGATTAGACCCCTTAACATACGAGTAAATAGAACGATTTAAAATAAAATTGTGTGTGTTTTGTCTTAAGAGAAAATGTATCAAGTCATAATATTATAACTTACAACTGTAGACACGAAGCTGAGGTAATGCACAGATCTTGCCAATATATCACGGCTCCACACCAGAACCTGCCCATGAGGTGCACGGATGCCATGAACGGGAAGTTCCTGATGTTGGTGCGTTCGCCGCGGAAGATGCGGCGGCCACTCCGCTTGTTCTGGAGGTAACTCTGCTTCGCTTCCAACTCCTTTTGGGGATCTGAGAATACAGAGAAACGTGTAACATTTTTCGTTCGAACCAATGAAACGTGATAATGTTTTGTGACTACGATAAAAATATATGACGCAGAATCCACTGAAATATTTCATGGACCGATAACTTTTCTTATCAATACCTACATTTATTACTCAATCAAATTGTATTCACCCCAATAAACACTTTTGTTTTCTTTTGTCTTGTGGTTGTCATAAGGCGTTTCTGCTATGAGTTTATCCACTACATCGTTCATCATTTCTTCATCCTCATGCTGAGGAATGGGATCTTCCATCATCCTTCTGGCTGACTTCATCAGTTTCTTCCGTGATGCTCTTTCTGCGACGATCTTCAATATGTCGTCTCGTGTCATCTTTTCCTTTAGCTTCAGAATCAGATTCTTGGATTCGTTTGCTGTCAAGTATGAGAAGTGATCCGTATCCATGAGTGCCTGGTAGAAGTTAGTTTCGTTTAAAGTGGTCTCTGATGTCACATTGTTCAGGAGTGCTCCAATCAGATTGTGGTCAATCACATAATGGTTGATGCGATCTAGTTTGTCTTTCAAATCTTTGATTCTACTCTTATTTTGGTCACCACTGAACAACTCGACCAATTTGTTGGATATGTCGTACACAGTGAGGTTGAGCACTTCAATAGGAACATCTTTGATATCTTCTGCAGTGACAGTCCCGAATAAACCTAACACTAGCAAAGTCAGGAGTGAGAGGACACGCATCACATATAGTGCACTCGTTGTTCTGAAATTATCGCCTACAACATTTTATGGATATTGAATAATTTTATGAGAGCTAAAACTTTATCGCGTACTTGTTGCCAGTGTCAATCAATCTCGTTTATAAAAAATAGTTATTCTACAAATTCTACTCATGAATATTGAATAAACTTTCTTCACCTAGTGTAGATACCAATCTAAACTGAAAGCATTATTTTAATTGTGTCGTTTCTCCATATAGGTATTCAACCTTTAGATTATCACCAAACCAAAACAGACATAAAATAATGAAATCGCTATCAATTGTACTCAGTGTCACGGTGCCTCAAAAATACAACTGTAACCATTGTTCTCATTCCGTATCACAGCAATCACGTGTGATTGCATCTCCAGTCGCTGCCATAAAACACACATCAACGCCACCCACGCAAGGATACAAGCCAGCACAAATAACATTGCCTGCTGTCCGAAATTGGGAACTTATGCCGATAATAAGGCTGTCGTAACCCACGGCCTCGAGTCATCAATCAGGCTAGATAGCTCTGGAGAAATACCTAAACAGAGAATCGAATTACAGCCCGCAGAAAATTGAGGCATCTAACTCAGTGGAGAGGGTGATTATTTTTATTTGGGGTAAATGTTCGAATGGTAAAGTACTCGTGAATCTTAGTTTGTTGTTGAGAACATTTTCGAAACTGTTTAAAGACATCAAAGTTTTGTTAACGATTTCATTAATTTTGTTTCGATCTTCATTAATTACAGAAGTAGCGATCATTGCCAAAGTTAATGTACTGGATCAATTCATTGAATACATTTTAAATGAATACCTTCTTCTAATAAATCAAATCTTATAATTCTTAAAGTCATCCTACAATTAACAAAGGGCCTTACTCTAAAACCGAATTTGGCATGAAGTCTACAACTAAAGTAAAAATATCTTTAACAATATATTTAAAGTAAAGAAAATTACTACAAAATATGCGTTGCAAGAATACAAATGTTTTCTCGTAAAATGTAAACAAAAATAATTCTCAATGCATTTATCGCGTACATTTCTCAACGCAAATGCTCAGTGATTTATCCTAAACATCTGTCTGTCTATGTAACCCACCGCAGCGGCAGCGTGTCTATCCATCATCGTAACTCCTTGTACAATAAGTGATCGTGAAGGATCTGCAAGTGATTCCGTCTCGAGTCTCGTCCTCGTGGGAAATCAACGCAGCGCGTACAGAACGGGTGAAGGGATTCTCCTCCAATACTCTTCCTAGGAATGTATTCCTTTTACTTAATTTGCTATTGGGCTTTTCTCCCAGTTTCCTCACAAGCTCCGCTTTCTATTGGGAAAGGTCTTATTGGATTTGCTTCAAGAGAATTCTGAATAGCAGCCCTGGGACCTGAATGTAATACTCTCGCAAGGAATGTTTGCGGTCAATTTAAAGAAGGACTCTATTCTAGTCTAACATGTTTTGGCGTACCGTACGTACGTGTAATAACATTATATTTATGTATATAACTGAAATGGAAATCGCGGATTATTTTTTGTTTGATGATTAGCGCCATCTAGTGGATAGTAGTTAAAATATTTAATAAAGTGAACTACATGGTTTGTTACATGTATAATGGTGAACAATAAACAATTTAAGTTAATAATTATTATTAAGTACAGATTAGACAGTACAGCTTTAATTTTTAATGAATTACACGTTCGGCCATCACGTGCAATTTTATTTAGCGCCATCTCAGATCGGGTAGCGTAATCAACAGCTAGCGGTTCTTATGTACTTAGCTTTTAGTTCGCACAACACCTTTCAGATGGCGCTGTTGGTATTTTTACGATATCATAGCACGGTCAGTGGAAATAACAGTGATTCTGATGTTCCAAACATTTTTATTATTACTATGAAAATGTGTTACTTAATCATAAATATAATTAACTCTTGACTTTTCTTATAAATTTCTTGTTTTTAGTTTCCCGTATAAATTTCTTGTCTGCCATTCATGACAAATTGATACATATCACATTGTTTAGAAATTATTCCTCACGCCTGTCTACCATGGTGGTAGGCAGATACTATGGAACGGCAATTGCTATAGGTATTTATACATAATTTATAGCATTTCATATAAAGCGCATTTCTAAGCGTGTACTATTAAACAAACCAAGAATTAAAAATATTGACCCCACGAACTTAACGACAATAATTCGAAACAGTAAAATAAAGGTATAATTAAACAACTTCCATTAAATACAATTAACAAAGACCTTTATTTACCTCCCCCTAAAACAGAATTTGGCATAAATTCCACAATTAAAGTGAAAAGATCGGTCTTCTTGGATCAACGTTTCTTATGAGAGAGTTAGAAGCGACGAGAACATTCTAAATGAAATCGCCGGTAATTTGATTGTAGCGTATAATTCAGTTGGGGCCAGTAAACGGGCGAGGCAAGCCAGTAATTGATTAACGACAGTCGCGCTATGCCCGCCGGCTACGTGATGTCACGTCCACTAGAATGTTTAATGCTTCAGGGAACCACGGCTAGATGGCGTTGATGGTCGCTGTTTGTCGTGGTGTAGCATTACTTTTCAATACTGTAAGAGGTAAGTCATAAGGAAAAATGTGTATTGGCATAGCTTTTGTGTGCCAAAAAGGGTTCTTTGACAAATGGAAGGATAGGAGTCGATTGAAGAGAAGATGGATGGATCGTATGATGAGTGGATATGAAAGTATAGTAGGGTCGACGTAAGTAAATAAAATATTGTTGAAATAGCTCTTTATGTCGCTTACAATAAACGACTTACATTCAATTACAATAAGTAATATACTTTTCTTAATAAGAAAGTATTAGATATTTGGAATAGTAATAAGATAATTACAGTATCTGCAGGTGCTTGTTTACATATTTTTAAAATATTTCCTTTGTTATACAAATAGCTACAACACTGCAAAACAAGCCACAATATTGCGTCAAAGTGAAGAATTATCTTTTCATTAAAGCTCGTAACATGTAAGTAGGGAGCACTAAATATTAAAGCGTGCGAGCGTGTTCACATAGCTACACATCAAGCTGTGAAAACCAGTGTAAACTGACTGTTAAGAGTGCTGAATGATCATACAAACCGAGACCATGGTGTACTGGCTGTGTTTAGTTTGTTGTGAAACTGTGTGTATCTAGTACAAGCGATGGCGGTAGAGGTATTTCGACTTCATGGCCTCAGTGACGTGTTCATTACGAGGATAGAATTAAACAGTTTGCCTCGACACCCGCGCAGGCCCCGCGCCGCGGGCTTCTTAAGCCATTTCTTATTAAAATAACGTTTAATTTCACTGTCTCATCAACTGTTATTAAGGCTTTGAGAAAATTCTACAAAATGTCAAGTTTAAATTGAATTCCTAATGTTATAATTTTTATGTTAATTTTTACTGGGTTGTCCCTGGCAAAGAGACGAGTTTTCTCACAATATATTTTTATTTTATGTAAACTACCGATAGATGGCTATTAGCTGTATGAGCTAAGTACTTATCTACTAATATTCTGAGTCTTCTTTTGGGTTATAATCATGTTTATTTCAAAAAATGTCATTGGTTCCAACAAACAATATTCACCAATTCATTTCTAAATCAATCCCCGTCTGTTGGTACGTCGCGCCATCGCTGACAGCCTGCAATACGTAACATTAGCAGCTAGCAGCGAGTCATAAATAACTGGAGTAACACATATTGAGTAAAAAATAACAAGTGTGACGTAATAAATAACTGTTCCGTGTACTGGGGGCTTAATACGGGGCGTAATTCATTTACGTTTAAAGTAATCGTAACGAGTACGTGCTCTGATTGGCCGGCTCCAATGAACCAACCAATCAGAGTGCCGAACGTAAACTTACTTAAACTTACTCGGCGAGATGGTTTACGGTAGGCGTTTGCTTTATATATTTGTTATACCACGACTGTGGTAAAAGAGCATACAGCCCACCCGATGGCAAGTGGTTATGTACGCTTGCAACACTTGGGGCATTACATGCGCCTTACCGACCCTTTATAAACCAATTACTTCCTTCTTGAAGACTCCATATTGTAGCCTACTGGAAAACCCTCGGCAGGGAGTTCATTTTATATGCTACTTTCTCGATAATGTAGGAATTTGTTGTGTGATTATGAATTCTACAGATATTGTAAATGCGAAAATTTGTATGTTTATTTATAACCCCTTTACGTCAAAACAGCTGAAGGGATCGATGTGATATTTAGAACAGAGTAGATTGTAGTTTGGAATAACATAGTTCGGCATTGGTTTCCGTACTAGTAAACTATAATTACGTACTAGTAAACGTTGAACTAGTTAACACATTAATCGCCATGGGGGTCATCGGTGACAGACCTGTAACAATTTTTCTCTTGACTATCAAAGTCACGTACAAACAAAACGATCTTAATAACCGGTTTTACTCTCAACACAATCTACATTATAAAGTTAATACCCATCTTAGTTGACATAACCACTCCAGATTCGCTCCAGAACACATATAATGTAAATGATGTAACACAGTTTGCTGTACAACTCTGTCTTATCTCCCGTGTTATAGAAGTCGTAAAACAAAGGAATGAGCTGTAACATTCAACTGAAGCTTTCAGTAGAGAATGTAAAAAGTTTAATGAATTGTGTTCGAGGAAAATGTATGGTTGTACTGTGAAGTACATATTTTCAGGCATTGTGTTCAGTGTAGTCTTGAGCACAATTGGGTAGTTTCCAGGGTATCAAAATTAAAAATCTAATTAGTCTGTCAGTTAGATAATGAAAAATTTTTTTTTTTTAAAACATTGCCCCACACTAGGATTTTCTCCTGTATCGTGGGTGCGTTTACAAACATACAAGTTCACATACACAATGACACCCAGACCCGAAACAACAATCTGTGGATCACACAAAGTGTTGTCTCGTTCGGGAATCGAACCCGCGACACGTTGCACGGCAGCCAGTTGCCCAGCCACCGCACCAACCGTGCAGTCATATTGGACACGTATTTTTTATTTTCTCGTATTAAGTTGCAATACTTAGATAAAATGCCGCTAAGTTTAGGAGTGGGAGGTTGTTACGTCATAACGTGCTACAAAATGTGGCACGCTGTGACGTCACACGATATTTCAAATTAATATATCGACGAAAGTATTTAATTTTGTGAGAAAAGAAAAAATACGTGTCTAAAGTTTTAAATTAATGTACCAGACCGACATTAAAATAAAAATTTGGAAACTACCCTATTGTTTATGTAACAAAGTAGTAAAAATAACTTAATGTATGAATTTGCAGCCTCAAATGGGTGTGTAAAGATGCATAACATTATCTGTAAAGCATTCACTTTTCATCCTTTTTAATAGGCCTCGTGTAAGTAACTTAGGGGGGTGTCAAAAATGTTATAAATATCAGATACAATTCCAAAACCACTGACATAAACTGAAATGCTCATTAATCATTTGCCCGATCTGGGAATCAAAGCCAACGAGACGGTCTAACAAGAAAGTAATATTAGGACATAACATTGTATCTATCTAACTTTCAAAGACACATATTTTTTTTCAAGAACATAGCATAACATCACGCCTTATATCCCCGAAGGGGAAGGCACTTAATGCTACTGTACAATGTAACACCCACTTTTTACTATTTATGTTATGAGTCCCATGTAATAGGGGGTAAGCCTATTGCCATATACCGGGCGGAATTCCAGACTCCGTGCTACTAATGAGATTTTTTTTTAAAAACCCTGTAATACTTTTCCTGTCCTGGGAATCGAACCCCAGACCCCTTGCCCGGTCGCACTTGCGACCACTACTCGGCCAATGAGGCAAGCACGTTTATAAAAACTCTCTTTAATACAATTGTATCAAGTTAATACATAATCAATTGACATAGTAACACAGTTTAGCATCAATACAATACACATTAATGTGTACACAATGTGTATCAATACACATCACAGAACCGCGAGTCATCCGCAAACTGTTAACGTCTCACTAATACAAGCTTTGTATAATGAAATCCAATTACTGAATGGAAATTTCCCTAATCTTTTGTCATGGTAAATTTC